CTTAATCAGGAGAGAATTCCAGACCTCAAGGTGCAACGAACTTAAAGCTCGAACAAAGAAGAAACAGTGGACAGTGGCACTCTCCGACATACCCGACTGGCCAAGAATCGAAGCCGTTGCCGAGTTTAGACTACTTGCCGGACACGATTGCTTGGCACGATTGGGAGTATGCACTTAACCCACATGCCCCCTATGTAACCTACAGGAGGAAATGGAGAAGACCCACCAGATTCGATGTCCAGCTCTAAAGACAACGACGAAAAGCCAGAGATACTGGGAAGCAAGAAGACAGCTAATGAACTGCTATAAATGTACCCCCCACCCCTGGGGGAAGCTGAAGTAAAAGTTTAAGGGCTAATGATAAATATCATAAATCCTGCCATTTGAAATAAATAAATAATTCGGAATATTATTCAAGAAAACACGCCATTTACCTATTTAGTTTGAGCCAGATTATCGAAATAGTTCAATCATGATTAAATAATTTTATACCAGTTCTTCTATTTTTCATGGGGATTTTGAAGTATTCAAAGTGAAAAAGAAATAGATCGAAACGAAATTCTACGAATGAGTATATCGGAATGCCCCTCCCCCACCCCGGTTCAAATACCATTTTCAGAATTCAAAAAGAAATCAAGTGATAAATCCGTAGACTCAGCCACTTCGCCCAAGTGCGTGTCGAACTGGGTCATTCCATTACTACCAATATATTTGAACAAATATGTACCCATCATAGGATTCCTACCAACTCTGGATATTTCTCAAAATTGAGAAATGTGAGATATTGGTTAATTGAAAAGGAAAGTGGGGTGGGTGGGCACTGGAGGATCGATCACCACAAACCCAAAGGTGGACGTCCTTGAGGCAAACACTTAGTGGAAAAGACAGCTAAGCAATTGCTCGAAGTCTCATGGCAGTCGGTTTTTTTGTATGAAAATAATGACAAGGCTAGACCAAGCCTAGTAATTTTAAATGGGAAAAATAGTTCTCTCCAATTATCTCCTTCCCCTCCCTCGGGCTCGACTTTTCTCTCCATGCTGAAAAGTTTTAACCCTATTTGAAATAATAGAGAAAGTGAGCAATTCGATTTGGACAAGTCGAACTTTTTAATTAATAGATTCATAAATGAAATAAAAGCTATAATAGAACATCAATGTGTGCCTAATTATTCTTGAGGTGAATAAGGGCTGTTTAACAGCTATTTTTCTTGGCAAAGTGATTGCGAGAAGCTATTATTGAACAAAATCTAGAGAAATTATATATTCACTCGTTTAAATCCAAAAGCCAAAATTTATAAATAATTATTTTACTATTATTTCTCCTTACATGCAGAAATACACAATAGTTCAATCGTGTCCATCTGTCGAATAAGTTAATAAATGCGTTTCTAGGGATAAAATGGCAGGTTAAAGAGAAGCGGGTCAATTCAAGCACCTCGCCGTGCAATCACAAGACTGTCTCCGTCATTCGGGTGGTAGGTGTAGAGTTGTCGAGCACCAAATCGTAGCTCTTCAGGTCCGGTAGCTTCAACCATGCCAGCGTCAATGTAGAAAAGGCGCATTCCACGAGCCTCTGTATGAGATATTCCAAAGAGGGCGCACAACTCAGTCTTCAATCGAGATATGGTTTGACGCATTGTACAGGTGTGCCATTTCTAAATTGGCCAATTGAAAATTAAAAAAGGAATACAACTCGGTTGATGCTGATCCCGGGTATTTAAACGAAGTGTTTCGGCTAGGATTGAGATCGAATAACCACTTTTCGTGAAAGAGGATTGGATTTCGTAAAGGAGCTCATATATTTACCAGTGGGGGGGGGGTGTGCGATAGACTTACCTCCACGTGGTACACCCTGGGCAACGTATACTTATACGGCACAAAAGTCTATTAATCGGCAGTTGACTTCTGACTTCAAACTACCATCACCCCACTGTATGTCATATTTGACTACTTCCACAGTACTCACCTCACCTTTTTGCTACCTTTGTGTCTGTCTCTTTTACATCTTTGAAACACTCTTCTGGTCCCTCCCCCTCTCAACTTTTTCTCCTCTTTGATGTTCCTTCCCCTCTGTGAAGCCTGAAGTCAACTAAGG